ACAACCGGGGAAAGTTTTTCTCAACGATTCGAATTCCAAAGAAATACGACCCCTCTCCTCCCCTTCCTCGCGGTCAAATACGCCCTCTCCTTTTATAGCGTCCGTAAACAAGAGGAATCAACTGTAAAAAAATTACTCAGACCAAACACCCCCCCCCCCCCTCCTTCGCTCGCGATCAAATACCCGCCGTTGTGAATACCACAACGATGGCGTGCCCTGCCCAGGTCTTCGTGAGGGGGCTTTTCCACTAATAGGGCTGGATCTGATTACGTTAAGCTCGGTAACAAAGTGCAGGTGCCTGCGTCTCTTTCAGCCTTTAAAAGGGTTGTAGGTCATTACCTAAGATTGGATTCTTCAAGAGAGGTATTTCGAGTTGTGTTGCATCTCTCTCCCATCGTTGTGCTCGTGTTTTTATTGCGACATTTTTCCACATTGTGTTTTTCCTTATGTCTTGTCTTAAATGGTTTTTTGTTGGATTTACTAGAGTTGTACTCTGTTATGTTGTTGTTGAATACCACATGGTACTCTGTTATGTTGTTGTTGAATACCACATGTGCTTGCGCATTTAATAGATTGAAAACGAAAATATTGAACTGTGCACCTGTAGTTGTGAAAAAGGAGCAGCATCATACCCCTATCGATAGGAAATGATCAAGCATACGTACCCACCCATCAGTCATCCAGGTTCAGCGTTTTCCTGGTACGATCGATCTGAATCTCTGCCTGCTTGAGAAATATTTTGGATGGCGTTTCGGACGACAACTGCTTCTTAAATACGCAATCTTTTGAAGAACTAAAAACAAGGAGCGTCAGGTCCTCTTTTGAAAAGCGCCACAGTTTTGCTGAAGACCCGCTAGTTGAGAGGATTCTTGAGTATATTCCACTACTACTGCTCTGAAAAGTCGAAAAATTCTTCGCTAAACTATTCCTGTAAATGATAGGCGCCAGCCTGACAACGAACTGTATACTCATTTTTAGCGCTGGACCAACATGGCCCCGCTAAATTTCACCAAAATCCAGGAGAACTACGGGATTTATTTGACATCCTGACGACGTCTGTGACATTCATTTTTGTAACTTTCACTAGTTCGCACCAAATGGTGCCGATTTGTCGTAACCATCTTCCCCGCAAAGTCTTTGAAAAATGCATAATGATTGCATATCCTGATCTTGAGAATAAGGCAGCGTTCAGACTTGTAGCGCTACGTCGCGCTACAGCTGTAGCGCTACAATTGTACACAACATAGTTCTGAATTTTTATAACTTTTTTCGACGTCGTTTTTTTCACATTCAATCTTCACAAAACGAATATAGTCATGCATTTACACACTAGCACACTAAGCCCCGCCCCTCTGACCACGCCCACTTTCGTTTTTCGCGGAATTTTGATTTATTCTTCCGAATTTTCTTTTTTAGGCTGTGGCAAGCGGAAGCCCACTAATGGAAGCTCCGCCGACTTTGTATAAGCCCGCCCACTTTTCAAAAATGATGCAGATCGGCGAGCTAGTGTCCGTACTAGCAGGTTATGACCTTTCCCGTCACATAGAATGAAAAAAGGGAAGAGACCAGAAAAAAGGGAAACTTTGTTCCGGGTGACGGGAGAGGCCATAACCTGCTAGTACGGTCACTAGCTCGCCGATCTGCATCATTTTTGAAAAGTGGGCGGGGCTTATACAAAGTGGGCGGAGCTTCCATTAGTGGGCTTCCGCTTGCCACAGCCTAAAAAAGTGAAAATTCGGAAGAAAATCAAAATTCCGCGAAAAACGAAAGTGGGCGTGGTCAGAGGGGCGGGGCTTAGTGTGCTAGTGTGTAAATGCATGCTATATTCGTTTTGTGAAGACTGAATGTGAAAAAACGACGTCGAAAAAAGTTATAAAAATTCAGAACTATGTTGTATGCAATTGTAGCGCTACAGCTGTAGCGCGACGTTGCGCTACAAGTCTGAACGCTGCCTAACATTCATTTTTCGACACCAGCGATATCTAGCGCTACACCAGTGAGGACCGTAGAAGGAGCAGCGATTCCCTTACCAGCTTCAGCATAGCGCAGATGATCAAAGTGCCTTACATTGGGGCACCAAGAATGAATGTCACATTCAGTTGCCGTGTAAAGTTTTCATCGATCCAGCTGAGATAGGTGTTAGCGCCAGGAATGAATATGTTCGCGTTGGAGAAGTTCCAGCAAATTTTTTTTGATTACTGGAGGTATTAGTGGGACAGTGCCGATATTTCAGGTGGGTTGTTGATGAGCCAAAGTCCGAGCCACTTGAAAGCACGGCTCGTTCCGTGCAGCTATTAGAAAACTCATTCAGAAAACTCATTATGCTTCCAAAACACATTTATCAGCCACAGTTATCCATGCAAAAAGATGCGCTCACAGGGGTTTAGTGAGATCGATAGGAGGAAATCTGCTTAGTTGCACTATTTAGTCGTCTACGTGCTTACGAATTTGTGCCAATTATTAATATTGCTGCTTAATTAATATTTGTATCTTACACATATCGGGGTTCTCTACAGTGCTGGCTCCGCCCCACAAAATTTAGCGATGACACTTTGCGCTGTTCCATGCTCACCGGCCTTGCCTTTACGACACCCCCCTCCCCTATTCTGAACGGGCAAATACGACCACTGGATGGGTTTCACACAACATTGCTGTACTCTGGCTACACATTGGTTATGGAGCGGACACACTATTGAAACGGCACCCGGGTATCACTACCATACAGTCCCAGTCCCATGCAGTTTTGACCGCGAACGTGGCGCGCCTGCAGCTGTGGGATCATTCACCCCTCACATGGGAAGTGCCGTCTTAAGAGATGAATGCAGTTTGTCTCTGAGGGCTCTGTGACTGATTGCTGGTTAGGGTGTCACAAACAAAAAAAAAGCGAGAAAAAAGCGAATTGGACGTTTTTTCGTTTTCTCTTACGAACATCCAGGGTGAGTCCTGTATGACCCTGAATTTCATATATCACTCCCAGTCGATGCAGTCACCGATTTTTCGTAAGGGCAGGTAACACACATGTACTGCTTGTCGCAAAGCCTGTAACGAACCAGAGCTTGTTCCGAGCTGTAGAATGTCAGAGCTTCACGATATTCTCCTTAAAGTTTCACTATACGGAGACAATGTAGCATTCATTATTTGCTACTAATTAGCGCTCGTGTGTGGCAGCGCTCTTTCGGGGGTTCCTGGCACGATGTCGGAACCGCTAAGGATGACGGGGCACTTGGAGGTAGGGACAGTGATCCAAAACTTGTAACATTTCCAGCCTGTGAAGACGAAGATTAGGTCGAAACGTTAGGCTGTTGAATAAATGTGGTCCGCCAAATAAACGCGTAATCCGCAAAGAAATTTAGACACTTACAAGTGTTCTCATTAAAATAGACATTTCTTGTTGCCATTTCTTGGCTTGCACCAATTCTTTTTTTCGTGTCGGTATATATACAGGGGGGGGGGGCAAAAAAAAAAAAGACATTTCGACCGAGTCACATATCAGCAAAGTTTTCGCTGCCCAGAGAGAAGACGTGGATACGGGTACCAGGGCGAAAGATACCCAAGATGTTCCTCTATAAGCAGGAGCTGGCTCTCGCCCATCACCTTCATGTACACCAAAATATGAAGTCATCTCCAGTCGCAACCTGACTGGAGAAGACCTTCGGAATTCATGTCACCTCCAAACAGCTGCGAAACTTCTAGTATGGAGTCACCCATGGATAGCTACCTGGAGACCAGTACTCTCGATCTGGATGACCTCCAACATCGAGCAGCTCCGAACGTCGCCACGGTCTAGGACATCATCTTCACCACAGTCACCAAGACGCCAGTTGATGGTGGGTACCGGACGTACCTGGAATGGAGAGACCGATATTTTCTTCGTGGACCCCGGACTGAAGGTGAGCGCTGGCGGTTACATCGAGCAACTCGAGAAGAATATCCTCCCACATGTCGTCGCCCGTACCTTCTTGGAAACTTTGTACTGCTACAGGATTGGGTGACACCACATGGAATCAAAGGGCGTTGGGAAAACTCTTGCCTACAATGGAAGGGCGTTGAGTACCTGAATAAGGTGGAATATCTAAGCAGGTAACCTGACCTAAACCCCCTCAATTACCTGGTTCGGAGTTCAATAGGGTGGTCTACAGTGGCGGAGAAATCAACGATCTCGCTGAACTCACGCACCCACTGACGGTCGCGTGGCAGAATCTCTCGATGGCGCTCCTCCAGAAGGCTGTGGCGGAGTATCATGATAGTATTTAATATGCTCTTTAATATGGTAGAAATGTCCGATAAAAATTTAATAAAGTGTAACTTATAGCGCCTCGAAAGTCGAGGAAGAAAAAGTCTTTTTTTGCCCCCCCCCCCCTGTATATAGCGCGCGTGAAACAGAAAACACCTACACGGAAAAAGGAAAAATTTAAAGGAATGCGATTCAACCCTTTGCAGCGGCTGGATGCGTCCCTCTGGTATGTGAATCATAATGGATGATGTACCATGTTTGGAAAGCAACAAGCCATTGAATGAATTCAAATTATAAAAGGGTGCCATGAAATGTGTCCAAACAGCATTTAATTGTCATACCAATAACTTGTTTGTAGTGGGTTTGGAAGAAGATATGTCAAACACAATTTGTGCTTATTTTCGTATATTTCATGCCGATTCTCTTCTCAATTCCTTTCATGACCTTACCCTTTGTACTACTCTTCACCTATGGCCTGCTTCTTTTTTTTTCTGGTGAGCTCAGCGGCCATTACTCATTCAATCATTTTGCCCAACGATGATCATTTTCAGATAAAGCCGTTAGCGTGCGGGTTGCGTGTGCGAGTGGTGGTCGAGTGAAGAGGGAATTGAGGAGAGGCCATCTCATATACAATCCGGCTAGCTGTTAAAGGGTTTGAGAGCGCCCAGCGATGCCAGCCACCAGCGAAGCAATCAAGTGCAGTCTACACCAACAGAAAACCACTCGACGTTCTGGTACTCTACGTATGAAGGAGGTCATGCTTTAATCAATGAGCATCCCGCTTTTTAGTCTGGTTTGCTGCTCCTCCCTTTGGTTTGGGTTTGATGTCGTCATCCCGAAAGTAGGTGAGACGGCTGTTGTAATCTGCATATTTCCTTTTACATCTAATGTATTCCAGTTTAATTTCACTAAAACAGTGCTTGCACACTTGTAGTTGGATTAATTACAAATGAGAAAAGTTGCTGGATTTTATGCAACAAAAAGCCCCTTCTCTGTCTGAACTTATTGCTTTTTCGACTACGTTATCAAGATTTTGTTTCGCAATGCGGGTTTGTTATTCATGCACTGTAGCATTCGGCATGTGTTCGCAGTAATTCCAAGCAAACCTTAAAAACATGCACACCAATCAATATATTTAATTTTGTTCTGTAAACACCCATGTACGTTACGAAGCAATCGATGATGGCAGCACGTTGTTGTAGCGCAAACATATTAACTGCCACACGGCTCGTCATTGGGTTTACCCAACGCTGAAGTCTACTATATTTTGATTGTACTGTATTAATTGGCATTGTTATGCTTAATTTCCTACAGCCTTTTGAAAAAACTCAGTAGCCGGCTGCATGTTGACATCATACCTAGCATTTTGTGGTAACATTTTCATATTCAACGCGGAATGTCCGTAAACCACACCACGTCAAATATAAAAGTCTCGGGGGGGGGGGTGGTCAGATCACGGATCGGCTCTCACCCATTCACTTTCCATCCATATTTAAACAGCATTGGTGACACTCTTCTTTCCGGACTTCATTTCGTGTCACGCTATCCAGCCATGGAACACATTATGTCGTCAATGATAGTTGTAGCGCTAAGATATTGAAAGTTTCGGCAATATTTCAAGCAATATTCCTGGAGGGACCCGGTATTTATTGCCAATTTCTTGAGCTTGTGCTATTAGCTGGCAGCGTGGAGTGTGATAACGGTACTTGATACTGTTTGACTTAAACTCCCAGTCTCAGGGTTGCTATTCGTGACTGATGTTTCATCAAGCATGTTGCTCCTCACACTAATTCCACTTACACGCTTGTAAAGGGAATATAGCAAAATATAATGTTCACCAGTTAACGCCGAATGGACCGTTTCCTGATAAGCTTTGACGGAGAGATTGTTTAAAAGCATATCAAAATTTTCAAACGATTTGTGAGTTATATAGCGTTGGAGGGGTGGGTTTTTCGTGTCGCCCAACGTTGTCACCGCGAAAACACGAGGAGGATTTCTATGAACAACAGACCTGAAGAAAAAGAAAGGAGCCATCTAGGATGGAGAAGTCTTCTAGATTGCGGCATTGTATTTGGTTTCACAGGAGG